ACCAGATTAAAAAAACAGTACGAACAGATAAGAACCAGTATGAACAGTATGACCAACTGGTAAGAAACAGTAAGAACGGCTGATAAGAAACAGTAAGAACTGCTGATAGGTAACAGTAAGAACAGCTGATAAACAGTAAGAACAGATGATAAATAAACAGTAAGAACAGATAACAGAAGAGCTGATAAAAAGCAGTAAGAACAACAGTCAGAACACAAAGTTTGTTTTCTCAGTCATCCAGGTATATAACAACAAAAAAGGTTGAATCATGTCATCTGGACTTCGTTTTTTTTTTGTTAAAAAGAAACGTTTCGCCCCTCATCCAAGAGGCTTCGTCAGTCTGAGGCCTAGCCATCTGGTATTACCCAGAAGCCACCCTGACTCTTGTGTTTCAAGCCTGCCTCAGATACCCCTGAAGTCTGGCCTTTTCACTAATGGTTTCAAAAACACAAAGTTTGTTTTCTCAGTCATCCAGGTATATAACAACAAAAAAGGTTGAATCATGTCATCTGGACTTCGTTTTTTTTTTTTTGTTAAAAAGAAACAGTCAGAACAGCTGATCAAAAACAGAAAGTAGAACATTTAACTATAAGCTTTTCTGAATAAGAATGTTTTAAGCTGCTTTTTAAAGGAATGATCAGAGATTGCCACACGAAAAGATGGGCAGGGCATTCCACAGCCTAGGGGCTATGGTCTGAAAGGATTGGTCGCCCCAAGTTTTAAACCGGGTCTTAGGGACAGGAGGTTCAGTGCTGAAGACCAAAGTAGGGCTGGACGACATGGACCAAAATTAATATCTTGATATTTTAAGATGAATCGCGACATTTTCATTTTTTTTTTTCATTTACCCTTTATTTATACAGGTAGTCTCATTGAGCCACGAGAACATTTGTTACGTACTGTAACCCCAGATACGGTGAGTATAGGCGCAGCCCTTTAAGGCTATTGCTAGTGGGTTTATCCCTTCGCGTGCATCACAGCACTGAAAACTTTAGTCCGTGCCCACCAGCTGTGTGGGCCCCACCCCCGGTCTGTATAAATTACGGTGAGACCGGGCAATCGGCTCCCAAATAGCTTTTTTTCTTCAGCCATTTAGGAACCAGTGAGGCCCAGATCTTAAAGGCCTGTGCCTATACTCATAGAATCTGGGATTACAGTACGTAACCAATGTTCTATTTCGTATATGCTTCGCCCTTTAAGGCTATCACTAGTGGGTTAAAGGTGAAGCAGGATGTAGTCTATGCCTCATTGGGTCCATTCACACACGAACATGAAGCACCTGCTTGCACAAAAAAACATTTCATCACTCAGCCTTCTGATCATTTTCAGCCTTCTGATCATTTTAATTTTCTCCATGCGCAAGAGCGCACCGGAGAAAAGATCTCTGGTAAGAAAAGAAGGCTGAGATAGTAGACCTGCTGCTGTGAATAGGAAGAACAGAGGTTACGAATTGTAACAGTGTAACAATGAACAGAGCAGGCCAACAGCTCTTCAGGATGAACCGATTAATAACAATAAAATCAACAGTCATGAACTTGTGGCTGATAATAAATATCTCACACTGCGACTGCATGCAGGCAGGTGTGAGCTCAAAAGTGAGGCTCCATGAAACAAATAATCATCATTCTGTGAGAACCCTGAGAACAGAATGGGTCATGGAGAAAATAGAAACATCACATAGATAAAACAAATAATTGAACACAGCAATGACCAGGCAGCCGCCATACAAATATCTTCCACTGTCATCCCTCCATGCAGAGCTGTGAAGGATGAAAACCCTCTGGTGGAATGCGCTGAGATTCTCTGGAGGATCCAGCCCAGATGAACTGTAAGCTTCAGAAATAGCCTCACACAACCAGTGTGAGAGGCACTGGGTGGATAGAGGGTGTCCTGTAGAATTGTCCCTGTAATGCACGAACAGACGCTGAGAGAGGCGCAGTGTGGCCGTGTGCGCCACGTAACACGAAAGCGCGTGCACGGGACAGAGGAGGTGAGATGTTGCTTCCTCCTCAGAATTATGAGGAGGAGGATAAAACCCATCCAAGGTTATCACTCTCAATCTGAATGAGCTTGTGATGCTTTTCAGAGGAGGAATAGGATGCAGTACAGCTGAACTGCCATCAACTTGAATTCTGAGACATGAGGGAGCAACAGAGAGAGCAGATAAATCGCTCACTCTCTTTGCCGACGTCAGAGCTAACAGCAGGGCTGTTTTAAGTGGCAGAAATTAAAGTGAAACCTGATCTAAAGGCTCAAAAGGAGCTTTGATAAGAGCGCGCAGGACCATCGTTAGGTCCCACTGTGTAGCTAGTGGACGTGACACAGGTCTGCGTCTCCGTACACCTTTCAGAAAACGCTTCATCAGCAGGTGGTTAAAAACTGTTCTTTTACCAAAAAACCTCATGACAGGAAGAAATAGCTGCACCCTAAGTTTTAATTATGCTGAACGCTAAATTTATGTCCATCAGTTGCTGTAGAAATGACAGCATGCCACCTAGTGGACACGAGATGGCCTCCATGCCTTTCTCTGCGCGCCAGCGCTGAAAAACTGTCCACTTTGATGTGTACAGCACTGTGGTGGAAGCGGCTCGTGTTCCCTGAATCGTACGCACCACATGCTGTGGGAGGCCCATCTTTCATTGTTGCCAGATAGAGTCAAGGTTTTCCAGCCCAAAAATCTATTAAAAACCACCACATCACACAAAAAAATCTGCCCAATCAATATATTGTTACAGTATATTTACTGTTTGAACATGAACGTACATCAGTACAAGCCAAGGTAATTTAACAATATGTGGCAAAACGCAACAATCCAACAAAAATCTTCCCAGAGTTCTCAGCAAAATCAGAATGAAAACTGCCCAATTGGCAGTAAAATGCCCAATCTGATCACACTGCCATTTTTTCTAAACGAATCCTTTCAGCAGCTAAACCCAAAAGTGCTGACCTATTTCTGGGTAACTCCTGATCGCTCTTCCTGCCTGGCAGTTTCCACGGCCAACCTGATATCAGTCGCTGCAGATTCAGGAACCACGGGACGCTTATGTGCTCAGGAGCTACGAGGATGACTGACAGTTCTTCCGCCCGGACCTGGTCCAGGGTCCGTGATATCAACAGGACTGGAGGGAACGCATAAAGGAGCATTTTTGGACACGGGCTGTGAGCGAAGCCATCTACCTCTAACGGTGGGTGAGGGAATAACCGAACGGTAGCCTGTTGTACTAATACAGAATCCCCTTGAGGAGAAACACAGGAATTTCCTGTGTTTCGGAATGATGGAAATGTTAAAATAAGTGCCCTTCAGATCTATGGAGGTGAACCAGTCATTCTGGTGAAGTTCTCCTGCAGCTGTTTGATTGTCAGCATGTGGAATTGTCTCTCCATGATCGATTTGTTGAACATGGACAGGTCAAAAATGAGTCTCATCCCTCCGTTTTTTTTTCGGAACCAGGAAATAGTGGGAGGAAAACCCCGTGTTTCCCTCTCCGTTGGGAACTCTGAAAATCACGTTTTTCATTAAGAATTCCTGAACTTCTGGCTGTAGAGACGAGCTCTGTTCTGGAGATGACAGAACCGTCTCTATAATCCCTTTGAACGGTGGGGATTGAGCTGCAAGCTGCTGCGTTTAACCCCTACTGATCAGACGGTCCATCCATCTGTCCAGGGAACACACTCGCTGCCTCTCTGCGTAACACTCGGAGAGCGGACACACATTTTTTTGTTGTGTCATGTTTCTCATGGACATCAGTCAGACTAAAAACCCTTACTGCCGTCACACGCTCTGG